TGGCAGCCAAGCTCTTTCAATAAACCGTTAATTATTATTATTATTATTATTATTATTATTATTTATTATTACACACACACACACACACACACACACACACACACACACACACACACACACACACACACACACACACACACACACACCCTAGTAAGTAAGTAAGAGTCAAGAGTGGTGGAGCGAGACTACTTTTTGTGACTCGTCCAATAAACACACACACACCTCCAGGCCCTAGACTGCTTACAATCCTACACCGCCTGTTGTTGTTGTTGGTGGTGGTGGTGTTGATCTGTTGGCCACCTTATGATCCTTCAACTCTCTCCAACACTGGTCCTTGTAAACTCCAACAATCACCCCAACACTGGCCACACCACCACCTCCTCCTCCTCTTTCTCCTCATCCTCCTCCTCCTCCTACTACTACTACTATCCAAAGCTACTCGCACTTCCGTAACCAATAACATAACTACCACCATTTCCTCTGCCTTATCACATCTACCACCATCACAAACCCACAACAACTACTACTATCACACGTCTCATCACACTACAATCAACCACCATTCACAAGGCTCCTTATTCACCTATAGGACTACCATCAAAACCCAACCACAACTATTACTACTACCACCATCACACGCCTCACCGATCACCCACAACTACAACCAAACATCACACGGACGGTCCATCACTCACTACCATCACTTAACTACCACAACTACCACAACTACCCCCATCACGCCCCATCACTCAGCCACAATCAAGAGCGATGGTCAAGACTCTCACACACACACACACACCCTCACGAACACACCCCCCCCCCCTTACATACACACATTTCTGGGTCAAGGTCACCTGCTGTTAGTTACCGCCCCCTTATCTTTCTTATCAGTTACGTATTGTCGGTCTACACACTACCAACCTGGATCATCCAAGCTCACCTGGATAGGAATGTACTGTTTACCTGCCGTCCGTCTATCTCTGTGGCTTTACCTTGGTACTCACACTCACTGATGATTTATACGTGTTCACACTCGTTAAGTCAGTCCAGTGTCCGCTTCTCCTGATTAACTACAAGTGTTTTTCCCGTGTGAGGGGATTGTTTTTTTTTCTTGGAGGGTGTGGTTCATTGAATGTTGTAAGTCATTCTTGGTTACCTTCGTTAAAAGTGAATTATCAACATTTACCTCATGAATGACTTATCAACCTGTATTGACATTCCCAGGCATCATTATCACCACACACATACACACACACACACACACACACACACACACACACACACACACACACACACACACCAGGAAGGCAGGCGTGAAGGGTCATCATCACACACACAACCTATCACGATCACGCCCTCCTGACCTCTGCCTGGTGGAACCGTTTTTACCAACACTACACTACATCAAGTGACCCTCACACTCCCTGCTGTGTCCGAGGCCGACCTGTCCTACTGAGTTACCTGGACAACCTCTTTTTTTTTAATCACACCTACACACCTTTTCCTCGTAGCCTGGCGCAGGGTGGACGACAACAAGAGGAACACAGCCCCTTCCCTCTCTCTCATCTAACCTAAACCATAGCAAATATCCCTCTCGTTTACCATTGTTACTCCACATAGCACAACACCATCACTCACCGGCCAGATAAACACACCCGGTAAAAACATCATCGCTACATCTGAAGACTGAAACATAATAAAAAAAACACGAAGCAATTTGGAACTTGCAAGTACACGGTAAAGCTGACGAGTGTGGCGATAAATAAATGATGAAATAATTGATCCATTCTGGGGTACTGTTATAATGTTAATAGACTTATTCCTGTAATAGGTGTCCCTGGGTCCTCCTTCTACTGCTTCCTCCCTCCGTCAGGCATCTCCCTCCGTCAGGCATCTCCCTCCGTCAGGCATCTCCCTCCCCTCCCTCTCCCTCACTACCACGTTATTAATAAAGATCATTAATACAGACGCCAGGGTACACACAACACACAGGCAGCCATGATACTCAACAATGGGGGTGATGATTATGCCATGATAGATGTTCTCTCACGATACCTCATCTGAAAACTGTGGCACAATTTGTTCTTGGTTTTGTTTTGTTTAGTTTTTTGCTTTGTTTTTGTTTTTCGTTTTTTTTGGTTTTTAATTTATTTATTTATTCATTTTTTTTATTATTTTTTGTTTACATCTGGGAAATAACTGGTAATGGGAAAAACGATCACAGCAATAACCTAACCTAACCTAACCTAACCTAACCTAACCTAACCTAACCTAACCTAACCTAACCTAACCTAACCTAACCTAACTAAACCCAACCTAACCTAACCTACCCAAACAGCAACTTACTTATATTCTGACACTAATAATCTCCATAAAAATAATGATAACAGACACAACTTCAGTAAACAAGAAATCTCCACTATGGTCAAAATGCCAATATGTGTGTTACAGGCAATATGTTAAATTAGGCGATATGTTAAATTAAGCAATATGTTAAATTAGGCAATATGTTAAATTAAGCAATGTGTTAAATTAGACAATATGTTAAATTAGGCAATATGTTAAATTAAGCAATATGTTAAATTAGGCAATATGTTAAATTAAGCAATATGTTAAATTAGGCAATATGTTAAATTAGGCAATATGTTAAATTAGGCAATATGTTAAATTAAGCAATATGTTAAATTAGGCAATATGTTAAATCAGACAATATGTATAAAAAAAAGTTCCGTTTCATGTTGTGTGTACGTAAGGTTAAACTTGGGACAGGTCAGGGTATAGATAAGATTAGGTCAGTTTAAGTTCAATGTGAAGATGAATGGAGCTTTTCGCAGTTCTCAGCTAAATACAGTAATCTAATCTAATCTAACCTGACCTGACCTAACCTAACATATATATATATATACACAACATAAAACGGAACTTTTTTACAGGTATTTTACAGATAGTCTGATTTGATACACACACACACACACACACACACCTGTCTATATGTTTATGTACGTACTTATCGATCCAGGTACCTATCAATAATAATAATAATAATAATAATAATAATAATAATAATATTAATAATAATAATAATAATAATAATAATAATAATAATAACGAAGAAGAACAACAAAACAACAACAACAACAACAGTGGTATTTCAGTTGGTTAAGTGTTGGCCAAGCTGCAACAGTGACCTCCATGACCTTTACCTTGAAGAAACAGGTTGAGGTCACCACCGCCAGTGAGTCACGATAATAACACGTCACTCCACCGCCATCATAAAACAAATAACAAAAAAAAAAAAAATAACATTTATGTATTTGTTCCCGTCACCCACGACCTGACGGGGTGGCTGACTGGGGATCGGGGACACTTATGACGACAAAGAGACAGACGGACAGATGCAAGGATGACGACCATAACGCCAGTGTTGTTGTTGTTGTTGTTATTGTTGTTTTTGTTGTTGTTGTTGTTGTTGTTGTTATTATTATTATTGTTGTTGTTTTTGTCGTTGTTGTTGTTGTTGTTTTCTTGACCTATTCTTGTTTTAAAATCTCCTTCACTCCTAATATTATAACTTATATAAATTTCCAAATATACCTAATTATCTACCTATTTAAGATCCCTATTACCTATTATAACCACTAGAGTTTATTCTACATCTTAGGGAAATAAATCATTACTTCAGTCTTCACAACACAGTCCTTAAATCTTTGTTCTTCGTCTCGTCTCATAAATATGTGGACTAGTTTTTTGCATTTGTCTTCATTCATCTATACTAACACGATCATCTACGTACTATTAAATATTATTCTTTCATCGCTATTTAATACACACAAAAAAAAAGTCATCTTCACCCAAGCCAGCGCCAGCACGAGCAATTAAGAGCGCCTGGCGTTCCTCCTTCACCACGCGAGGATATTTGAGGAAGTAGAGCGAGAACGACATTAGCCCGCCTCCCTGACACCCGGCAATTACACCCTCATGATAACTTCGCCAGACGAACGCTTTGCCCGCCTTCACGCCACCCAGTTATTACCGGATCATGAAAGCTACACCAGATGATCGTTCGCTCGCCTTGTGCCTCGGGTGGCGTTCTTTTAATTGACCAACAGAAGGCTAGAAAGCTACTTCACATTTTGTTACTTTTGTTGTTTCTTGAAAAAAGTACAAAGTGTTCCTTAATAATTGATGCCATAAAACAAACACATCTCTTCCCGGCTTCACATCCCGGATATATTCATCTCGTGCCAAGAGTGTGTGTGTGTGTGTGTGTGTGTGTGTGTGTGTGTGTGTGTGTGTGTGTGTGTGTTGGCCTTCTGTCAGCATCATGGGTGAGGTTTACTCAACAGTATCAACAGACCAGTCGTTATATGCCAGAGTTGAGGAGGTGTGAAGCCTGCACACACACACACACACACACACACACACACACACACACACACACACACACACACACACACACACACACACACACACCTGCCAACCTTCATTAATTAACACCCACCTCATTACCTATGCTTATGTACTCTGTGTGTGTGTGTGTGTGTGTGTGTGTGTGTGTGTGTGTGTGTGTGCGTGTGTAGTGTGTGTGTATCGTAAACAAAATAATACAATTAACGATACTAAATGACGGCAAGAAAGAAATAATAAGAACAAAAATAATAAAACAATAATATCAATAATAATAATAATAATAATACTACTACTACTACTACTACTACTACTACTACTACTACTACTACTACTAATAATAATAATAATAACAAACGAACAATCTAAATAAACGTACTGTACTTCATTTCTCCATCTTTTACAAACACTTTTTACACCTGGAAGTTACCTTTGGTCAGTCTCTACACCACAGCAATAGGTGGTTGGTGACTGTAACCTCCCCAATCCTCAATGCCTGGACCCCCACCCACACACCCACCGCACCCACCCATCCATCGCACCCACCTACCCACCCACCACACCCACCCACCCACCCACCACATGTGTCATATTTACCTTCATGTCGTCCAGTTTAACACCTGCTGCAGATCCTCAACACCAGCTTACCTGTGGAAACATAACAAGAATTAATTAACAATATAACCTGGTAGAAACTCGGTACTGTTGTGTTAATTGGTGAAAGGAACTTCACTACAGAGAGAGAGAGAGAGAGAGAGAGAGAGAGAGAGAGAGAGAGAGAGAGGATACTGTACTATATCATCTCCGAACATAACCTTACCTGACCATCAGTATTAATCTTCTGACCTGAGATATACAACACGATCAGGTTCTAAACTAACCACTACACACAGGTCATGTACACAACCTGTTATTCTTTTATCAAACTTCCAAAAGTCTTATCCCTAATTCATTATGGGTCAATAACTTTTAATATAAGACTGGCGGGAACTTTAGTCCAATAAAAAAAATCAACACAAAAACAATTGAATCAAGCTAAAACAATATACAGATTAAGGCTGATATAACGCAAGCGGTAAGCCTAATAAAACGGTGAAAATAAAGAATAAATTGAATAAAACTTGATAAAACGGTGAAAATATAGAATAAATTGATTAAAACTTGATAAAACAGTTAAACTATAGAATAAATTTAGTAAAACTTAATAAAACGGTGAAAATATGGAATAAATTGATTAAAACTTGATAAAACAGTAAAAAATATAGAATAAATTTAGTAAAACTTGATAAAACAGTTAAAATATAGAATAAATTGAATAAAACTTGATAAAACAGTAAAAAATATAGAATAAATTTAATAAAACTTGATAAAACAGTAAAAAATATAGAATAAATTTAGTAAAACTTGATAAAACAGTAAAAATTATAGAATAAATTGAGTAAAACATTGATAAAACGGTGAAAATATGGAATAGATTTAGTAAAACTTAATAAAAAGGTGAAAATATAGAATAAATTGAGTAAAACTTGATAAAACAGTAAAAAATATAGAATAAATTTAGTAAAACTTGATAAAACAGTAAAAATATAGAATAAATTGAGTAAAACTTGATAAAACAGAAAAAATATAGAATAAATTTAGTAAAACTTGATAAAACAGTTAAAATATAGAATAAATTGAATAAAACTTGATAAAACAGTAAAAAATATAGAATAAATTGAGTAAAACTTGATAAAACAGTAAAAAATATAGAATAAATTTAGTAAAACTTGATAAAACAGTAAAAATATAGAATAAATTGAGTAAAACTTGATAAAACAGTTAAAATATAGAATAAATTGAATAAAACTTGATAAAACAGTAAAAAATATAGAATAAATTTAGTAAAACTTGATAAAACAGTAAAAATATAGAATAAATTGAATAAAACTTGATAAAACAGTAAAAATATAGAATAAATTGAATAAAACTTGATAAAACAGTAAAAATATAGAATAAATTGAATAAAACTTGATAAAAAAAGTAAAAAAATTTAATAAATTTAATAAAACTTGATAAGACAGTAAAAAATAGAGAATAAATTAGTAAAACTTGATAAAACAGTAAAAAATATAGAATATATTGAATAAAACTTAATAAAACAGTTCAAATATAAAATAAATTTAATAAAACTTGATAAAACAGTAAAAAATATAGAATAAATGAGTAAAACTTGATAGAAAGTGAACCTGATAAACTCCCAAAGGTAAACGTATCTATTAACTTCAAGCTGAGGTTGTTTACGTTATGGCCAACAAAGACATTTACGAGATAATAAACACATGAAGGTTAAGCTTTGATTGTTTTCAGCTTTAATGGTGATGAGAAAGCTTTTGGCCTAGTAATGGTAACACCCCTTAGCACTGACTGACTGACTGACTGACTGACTGATTGGCTGACTGACTGACTGACTGACTGACTGAGTGACTGACTGATTGACTGACTGATGAGAAAGCTTTTGGCCTAGTAATGGTAACACCCCTTAGCACTGACTGACTGACTGACTGACTGACTGATTGGCTGACTGACTGACTGACTGACTGACTGACACACAACAACATGTCCTGACTGAGATACTCTCCATGGGTGGATTATATGTACAGGTATACTAATATTAAACAAAATCCGGTATCGAGATAAGCAAGACCGGACACCAATCAAGACCAGACACCAATCAAGACCGGACACCAAGAAAGACCAGACAGCAATCAAGACCGGACACCAAGAAAGACCAGACAGCAATCAAGACCAGACAGCAATCAACACCGGACACCAATCAACACCGGACACCAAAGACCGGACACCAAAGACCGGACACCATTATCAATCTCCACACACCTCATCTTAGGACATTACTACCTGAGAAACTGGACACACAATGGGCAGACTAAATAATAATAACAGTAATTAAACATCAACAAAGATCATTACTTCACCTTTATAATCCCAGGTGTTAATGTTACCAGGTTAATTAAGGCACCGTGAGGAATAACGGTACCTGTAATTTATATTAACATTATGAGTAGGCACTGATCTCTCTCTCTCTCTCTCTCT